GTGGGGGGCGGCCGGACGGGTGGTAAACGATCATGGGCGTGATTGGCCGGCCGGTCTGGTTTCCCGTCACCGCTACTGGTGTTGCCGGCTCTGATAAAGCGTCCAGTCAGCCGGTCCTGCCCGCACGTAGTAGTATTATCCTCTGGTACAGTGGGCGATTTCGTTAGTTGCGCGCGTGTCAAGAGGAGATCCAGTCATCAAGAATACCCGCGTCGTCCCTACCCGGCCAGCACTCAAACGAAAATAGTGCTCACTGTTCAGTGCGGGGTTGAGTGTACCGGCCACTAGTACCAGCCGGCCAATTCATGTGATTGGCAACTCATCCCTCCGTTCCGATGAGTAAGATGTATTTCGTTTCGTTAAGACAAGACTTTGACCAATAATTACTCTTTTAATTTTTTGATTTATGTGATACAAAATTACTATCATTACAAAGTAATTTTAAATACCCCTCCGTCACAGTTTAGAAGGCACAGTTAAATTTACGTGCGTTTTCACAATAAACAAGGTTTAGGGCGCATTGTATTTATTTCTATTAGCTAATTAGTACCCCGATATACTATTTCTATATGCATGCATAGTATGAATGCTATTTTTTAGCCCATCTCAAAACCAATAGATAATCACCTAGGTCCCAGAGAATTTCCAAGCGCGCCTTCTAAACCGTGACGGAGGTAGTAGTACTTCATCCGTCCGAAAATATTTGTCATCAAAATGGACAAAAAAGGATGTATCTAGAACTAAAATATATCTAGATACATCCCCTTTTATTCATTTTGATGACAAGTATTTCCGGACGGAGGGAGTATATGAATTTAGTGACACAAATTTATGAAGTATTTATGAAGTAATTATTGGTCAAATGCATGTCTTAACAAACAAAATACGCCTTACCTTTAGAAATGGAGGTGTTGTACGTCATAATTACTTCATAAATACTTCACGAATTTATGTGATACAGACCCTCAACTCAGCCGGACTCCTCAAACCGGCACTGTACATCTGGCCTGACCGCCACCCCTCATATGCAGGCCATAACTGGTCGGATACGAGGAGGCCCTGAGGCGTCCGCCGTTTGATCCGCATACAGGGTTCGCCAAAATTTTCATGAAATCCCCCCTCCCCCTAACTAAGGACCAGCCTTTTTTCTCTTATCTATTCTTACTCGTCTGCGTCGGCCCTCCCATTACTCTGCCACCACCCTAGTTTAGCCGTCGTCCCGACCCCTCCACGTCGCTATCACCAATAAAAAACTTCTTCCCGCCAGTCTCACCAGCCATACACTGTCGCCACCCCGGACGCCGCCTTGATACATCCGCCTTTTCTTGGATTACACCTTGCCCTCTATGTGTTCGGCAAATTGTTTGGGAAGTTTTTTTTTCTTTTGTAGGCAAAATGATGGATTCAGATAGTCCGACGGATGAGGAGTTTCAAGACAATGATCTTGATGAATTAATTCAAAAGGGGTTCTTCAATTCGTCACGTTCATATGAAGATACTAAGATGGTGATGATCATGAAAATCCAAGAGGAAATGGACATACAAGTGTAACACATTCTAAACTTCAAGAGTTCGATCAAAAGGAGGAGAGTTTTCAACCAGGATAGGGTCGCTGGCGGACGGCTGGTGCACTTTAAATAAAATTTATGTTTAAGTTATTTATTTTTATGTTTGAATTTGCCATGAACAAATGTTTTTTACGTGTGAGATTCATCTATATGATCAATTTGCATGGATTTACATGGATATGAGGGTTTTCATATGAGGACTGTGTGTTCGGCATGACATTTGAGGGGTCGTCTGGCGCTGTCCAGGATCGCGTGCGGGCGCGTCCATGGATGTTTAGGGGCTGGATTTGGCAAGTCCGGTTTGTAGATGCTGATGATTGTACCTATCACCCTCTATGTGAGTTTGAGAGCTCCGACATCTTTTTTTTTGGGCTGGATAAACTTTCGATCTACTTATAATCAATCGTAATAGTCTGATAGTATAAAAAACATCAAAGATAACAAAAATTACAAACAGATTCATGAACCACCTAACGACGACTATGAGCAGAGAGAGCTCCAACCTTATTAGCATTTTGCAGTACCTATGTCATGCATGCACTTAGTTTTTACCGGTCAAGAATGTATAATTAACTGGCCATTAATTATGAATCATCAACATACACGCCACGAATCTGAAATGTCGGATCATGGGTTGTTGCCGACTCAGACGTTGGTCCATGTAATGTCTCCCTATCCGATCACGCCTATATATTAGAGGCGTCAGCAACCCTAGCCGTCACCTAGATCAGCTTGCATTTGCCTCCTCGAGCACACCGCCCATCGTCGTTCCTCTCGCCACTGTTGTCGGTGATCCCATCTCGTCCACCCTGTGCACAACCGTACAGGAGAGCAGTGCCTCCGGAATCCCCTCCTTTGTGATCCTGCACTCGGAGAAGGGTGATTAGGTGTTGGGAGCGTCTCCCACACGGCTGCTCGGTGTTCGTCTTCGTCCATTACTTTGTGAACGTCCTCGTCGCCTTCGCAATCAACACGCCCACTGAATCCGAGAAGCTCGCTGCGGAGAAGAAGACCGTTAAAGGACACGTGCATGATCGATCGGCCGATGAGCATGCACACGCACGTCACATGGACTCACGTATGTGCGTATGTATCTGTCTCTTTCGCCAGAGCTCGGAATCGAAGGCCGGTAATGCTATATGAGAATTGATTAGGTGGGCGTCGGTTGAGCTAACGAGCTTGACAGGTTTATGATTAGTATTCTCTTCGTAAACTAATATAAAAACGTTTAGATCACTAAAGTATAAGCAACCTTACACAATACAACAGGGACGTGTAGCTATAATACGTTTTTATACGGCTTTGCAAAATGTCAGTACGTATAGCCTGGACAATTTCGTAGCGTGGGTCGATTTTCTGCTTAGCCCGAGGTTCAAAGGTGAGAACGACGCGAGGAGCGGCGACAGACGTCGCCCCTGGCGAGGCCCAGTCAGGACCTTGCCGGAGATGAGGACAGCGATACGAGTGGACGAGCTATGGCGTCAGGTGCAGTTGAGGAAGCATGTTGGTGGGTTGGGGGTGGGGTCGTCGGCGTTGCTGCAGACAGATAGTTGGGGCGGCGGCAAGCACGTTTATGAAGGGAGGGTGACGCGACCACGGCAAGCACGTTTATTGTAGTCCATTTGAAATGTCTAGAAAGACAAATATTTAATAACAGAAGAAGTATATATTTACGTCAGTGAAAACGATCGTATGTTGAGGCATACTACTACTACTACATAGCAGTACTTGGTACATTTTGTTTGTTGGTTCAGCACTTCAGCCCCTGCGTACTTGCGCTCAGTTTCCGGTCCCGATCTCAGCCTGAAACCACGGAGCGAACTGCTCCTCCAAATGCAGAGTACGGGAATGCCTGAGGACAAGATACTCTAGATCTCAAACGAAAATGCAGTACTAGTACAGTACACGATCGCCTTCCGACAGATTAGTTAACGCACTGCACCGCTGGTGCCTTCCACGAAGCACGAATCTGTCATCATCGCCATTAAATTCCAGACTGCGTTCACCTGTACTACCAGAGGTGCATTGTACGAGAGCGTGACACTGTAGGGTAGCAAACCCCTGTCTAAACTCCCAGAAACACTGGTGCAAATTAAAGACATCTAGCCGTCCACGAATACGTGTACCAAACCAGCATTACTGAGTAGTTACGCGGGCTTCATCGACAAGGTTAGACCGGTTCTAGATGGACAGAGTTCTACTCCCTCTTTCCACGAATAAGTGTACATCCAACTTTTGTTCTAAGTCAAAATTTCAAGACTTTGACCCAATTTATAAAGAAAAGTAGTAGCATTCATGACACTAGAATATCAATGGATCCGTTCTGAAATGTACTTTCATAACATAAGAATTTGATGTCATATATGTTACTACTTCTATCTATACAGTTGGTGAAAATTCTAAAACTTTGACTCACAACAAAAGCTAGATATACACTTATCCGTGGACCGAGAGGGTATTTAACTAGCAAAATGTTAATGCATGTCACCTTGAATGTAGTTTTCATTTTTTTAAAAAAATCTAGCTATTATATTACTTTTGTTATGTTCAAGATATATTTTGTTAGTTAAAATCATGATGAAAAAATGACTAAAACACGATGGATTAACGAGAGGACAATAGTAGCACATCGGCAGCGGGCATGTGGTAAACCAACCTGTGATTGGATGGTTAGAGGGACAACGGTATCATTAGCCCGTCAGGGTTCAAATCCTGGTACTCGCATTATTTCTGAATTTATTTCAAAATTTCCGGCGATGCGCTTTCAGTAAGAGGAGACGTTTCCGTCAATGACGAGGCGTCTACGGCGATTTCGTAAATCTCGAGATGATATATCGACTCGGTCTCTCTAAGATGCTAGCAGAGATAGAGTGTGCGTACGTGCGTTTATAGAAGGTGAGTGTATGCGCGTATGTAGGAGCACTGCCATGTGTGGAGCGACAGGATAGCTCCACGGCGCGCGCAACCACTTGCGCCGCACCGCACGGTCGGAGTCCGACTCAGATCACGAGCCAGCTAGCCGACGCCCCGACGCAGACCGCACCGTACCCAACCAAATCATCATCACCAATCAGTCAGTCAGCCGTCCCCAAAGCCAAAAGCGACGCGGGCGAGCCCCAAACAAAAACAAAAATCAGATCGCCAATACTCTACTCTACTCTGCTCCTCCTACACACAAAAGCTTCAATTCTTTTCTCTCCCCAGCTCCTCTGTTCCTCTATCTCGAGTCTCACCTCACCCCCCCTCCTCGCCGCGATCTCTCCCCCCGAACCCGCCCCGCGCCTCCCCCGGGCGCGGGCCCGTCGCCGGCGACGCCCGGGAGCCCCCGCGTTCTCTCCCCGCGGAAGAGCGGCCCGGCCCGGGCGCTAGCAGTGCTTTGTTTGGCGGAGGCGAGGCGTTTGGTCGCGGGGCGGGCCGCCGCCGCCGCGCGCGATGTCGGACGCCTCGTCGGATCTCGGCGGCGCCCGGGCGGGGCCGCTGCCCGTCGTCGAGCGCGACCTCGAGCAGGTGCGGCCGAGAATTCTGTTCTCGAATGGGTCAATTTCGCGTTTGTTTCTGTCTCTGCTACCTAGGGGAGCGCGGGTACACAATCTCTGCTGGAGCATGTTTTCTGCTCGGGTCTCTGTGATGCGTGGGGTCTCGTGCTTGCTTGCTCGCTTCCCTTCCGCTACTGTTTATTTGCCGGAATGGTGGCGGCTGGGTGCTGGCCCCGCGCGTCGCTGTGCTGCTGGACTTGTCCTCTCTGCTGCAATGGAGCTCCGAGTGGCCATTCTGCTTCAGCGGCAGTCACGAGCTCGGAGTGGCCATCTTGTTTTCATTCGTGTGTGTGTGTGTGTGTGTGTGTGATTCCAGGACACTCGTTTGTTGGCGTCTCTCTGATGTTTATCCTGCAACATCGAATCGTAGGCCCCTTCCAACTTTTGTGGAGTCCAGTCCTCAGGGGAGTCCCACCAGAGCTCGCACTGGGATGCAGGGTAGATTTGGACGACTGGCAGTCAGTGCAAGTTTAGTTTTCCTCAGCGGTCGTGTTGGCCTTGGGTAAATTCAACTCTAGATTTGTAGACAGATTGCACACCATGTAACATTCAAGTACAAGTCAACAATCAACAAAAGAGGGCAACTGTCGCTTGGTGAAAAAATGTCAATCTGAAGAACTGGCAACCAGTTATATCTGTCATCCCCAACACCAGTTATTGGAGTGCTCAATATACTTTCTTGTGTTATTCCTTGTGCTCACTGAGTAGATTAAGTTCTGCCCTCAAGGCGATATGCTTTTCATATCAGCTTCTCAGGGTTACAGGGCATATGGACCCTTTTGTTGCTTCTGTGATTGATGAAATCTAACATTTAAATTGGGAATTCCTTTAAATTTATTTTTAGAATCACTTTCAAAATAGTGATGGTTATGGGATGCTATTTTACTTTCCCATTTGGCATCTGAAAGCTGGATGTTCCTGATCAATGTTATTTTTGTATGATATATATTGGAATGCCAGACGAGGCCTGATACCACCTTTCTTTTGGTCGATTCTGGATTTTGGCAGGCTATCACTGCTCTCAAGAAAGGAGCCTACTTATTGAAATATGGGCGTAGAGGGAAGCCAAAATTTTGTCCATTTCGGCTATCCAATGTGAGATTATTTACGCTCCTTAACTTTGTATTTCTGAAGTTCTTCCTGATTGTCTCACTTGTAAGGAGTGTTTTTTGTTTCTACAGGACGAGTCTGTATTGATATGGTTTTCAGGGAAAGAGGAGAAGCATCTAAGGTTGAGCCATGTGTCCCGGATAATGCCTGGCCAACGGACTGTAAGTTAATTATCCTAAAAATGAAATTTCCAGAAGGGGATCCTATCAGTGTTTGCAAACATCATGATGAACTTTTTGACCTGACTTGCTGTTGGTGTTTGCTTGCCAACTCTCTGCGATGCGTATGTATGGAGCTTTTACTCTGAATCACAATTCACAAACCTTCAAGGGAAACTTTTGGTTAATGAATGCAGTCAACTGGGGAGTGGGGACAAATGCTTGCATCGTCTTTTGCTTGCTCTGTGGTAAACTGATTTGCGCAGTTGAATTGCTTCTCCAGATATTCTACAGCTAGATGAGTTAGGTTTCAGCTTGGATGAGTTAGATTTCTGCTTTATCAAGCTTTTGAGGCCGGGCAGCACTCAGTTTTGCATTTGAATAAGTCCGATTAACGCTGCATTTGCATAACTTGGCTCAATATAGTTTTTTTGGCATGAATTTTAAAACTGTCATAAGTTGATCATTCTGCTGGGGAAGTTACTTAGCATCTGCATGAATTCCCTTGTAATTGTACGATTGCTTAATCTTTGTGGTGCCATACTTGATCTTGGTCGTTAAGTACC